ATATACACATACACGTTTACGTTATTATCCATTTATTTTAATGTTTAATATATATTTTTTTAAACACACACACGCCTACTGTTTTATTTATTTATTTATTTTATTTTCAATATATTTTTATTTTTTTAACACACAGACACACACGCTTACTGTTTTATTTATTTTATTTTTAATATATTCTAGTTTTTTAACACACACACACACACACACGGACACACACACACACTTACCGTTTTATTTATTTATTTTAATTTTTAATATATTTTTATTTTTTTAACACACACACACACACACACACACACACACACACTTTAATTACTTTACACTTTTATTACTTGTTTAATGAAATGTAAAGGGTTGAATGTTCTTATGTAGTTTGTATGATGCTTTGGCAATATTGTTGTTACACATTCATGCCAATAAAGCTAATCTGAATTGAATTGAGAGAGGGAGGATGTGCTGCGCGAATGCGCTACGGTGCTGATCTGCAATCAAATAAGATTTTAAATAGGCCTAGTAAAATAAAATAAAAACAAAATCAGTATGTGGCGGTCAGCGCTGATATTGCGATGGGCCGCAGTAGTCTTTAATTAACTTGATTCATGTCTGGGTTAGGCTATGAATAAATTAAGAAGTGTCTCTCTTGCAATTATCCTTATGACATTATTTTGCTTGCTCTGTGCCAACCAACCCAGTCCTTTTATAACCAGTTGAAATATGGAGTGTTGTAGTATTGCACTTGCTAAAAACACAGAGTAGGCCTGTAGCCAACTCAGTCCTTATTACCAGTTGAAATACATTTAAATAGCCAATACAGCCCATATAGCACATGCAGTTTTGCACTTGCCAAAAAAATGATTCCACCTCACTACTTGTGGCTGAACGGTTCTCAAAATGAATTGATTTTAGTTATCAGCATTATATATGAGTTATGGCTGGTTATAGCTCAATCAGCCCTTTTAATCTGTTGAAATACCTTTAAAAGGGCTAATAAAACCAGTAACAAGTAGTTTTCCACTTGCCAAAAAGTGATTGCAGCCTCAACCTCGTGACTTAAATAAGAAAAAATAGGCAACAAAAGTCTGATCAGTTGCTGTCGGGCAGTGTGGAACTGGCAGTTAGTTTTCTGAACATTCTAAAGACTGAAACCAAATGCTGCCACCTTTAGAATGCTGGTGTTGCTGAAAACATCACCTGCTCTTCTGAAAACGCCTAGCTGGGAGTGCTAGGGTGCGCTTTGGAGGTGCAGCGGGGTTTTTTTGAGACGCTGTAGTTGCTATGATACATAATATCCGTGGAGGTGATATGTTGCAAGTAGGCTACCTAATTTTACTGAATGTAAAAATGTCACGACAAAGTAGCCTATGTAGGCCAACTTGCTCTGTCCGTTACTCTACATGAAGAGAAGGCTGTAACATGAGAGCACAGACTGTCGGTACGTGGGCTCATGAGATTTTGCGGGCGAGGAAACACCTCGGCAAGTAGGCACATCGTTTCGTTCAAGATCAGACGTGCTGTGTGGTGTTTTCCTCGCCCCTCCTGCACTGTGACTGGACGGGTGGCTAAAAAGTGACAGCATTTTTCCCAAAGTTGAACATTTTTCAACTCTCGCCGACCAGCCTAAAACCGGCGGTTTCCCAAATGCGTTTCTTTCGAATTGTTGGTTCTGAAAGCAAACTGGTGAGGGTCCAGACTGACTGGGATATTGGTCTTTATGTGCTGAAGAACCAATTTCTCAAAGCACTTCATTGTAATAGGGGTGAGTACCAAAGGGCAGTAGTGGTTCAGACTAGACACTGCAGACTTTTTGGGTACAAGAACGATGGAGGCTGTCTTGAAGCAGGTGAGAACCCTCTGCTGTGACAGTGAGATATGTCAGTACTAACATCAACTAGCTGAGTGGCACGACATGATGCGCCTGCTTTTGTAGCCTGTGATGGACTCGATCACTTAAATAAATAAATAAATATCTTTGCTGTTGTTGGTGTTTCGGTATAGAGGGCATCGGTCTGATGGACCAAAATGGGGCAGCAGAGGGCTTTGCAGCTGCCAGAAATGTCTGTATAAACATGATCCAGGGTGTTACCACCCCTGGTCGCGGTGGCCTTAAGACGTGGGCACAACAGTCTCTGATTTTTGACTTTGTGTTTCATGTTCAGTTGCCAACTACCTTAGAATTCAGCATTCTCTCTCTCTCTCTTCTTTAATCAATTTATTTAGTTTTAGTCTAAGTATGTTCTATGTGCGTGTGTAGCACCAAGGGGCTACAACTTACATTTCATTGTACAGCCCTGTGTTGTAAAATTTTGCCTCTCCAAACACACACGGCTAAATTGCTCTCTCTCTCTCACCTCACACACACACACACACACACACACACACACAAAACTTGAAGTCTGGGAGCATGAACTGCAGAACACTCTTCTCTCTTGTCTTTTCTCCTGTGGGATATTACAGCATGTGGGAGACTAGGGCTGCCAATGTTAAAATTAAATCATTTAATCCTCCTTTGGTACAATTTTAGTTATATCACACACACAGATATTTTTAGAGTTGATTTTGACAGTCTGGAAAAATCCAACCATTCTGAGTCCAGTAAAGGTTGCACATTGTTTGAAATATAATAAATATAACCAAAATGATGTCATTTCAATACTGGTATCCCTAAAACATCAATAATGAATGTTACTCAAATATCTAAAAATCTATTTTTTGTGTGATACACTGTAGTGTATTAAACAGGTTCAGACACGTTCAACATAAGAATATTAACAATACCTTTTTATTGGTTTCTCTGTCCGGATGTCAACTCCACCGTATGATTCCCCAAAAATATACATGTCGTGTTCAGAAATACCAAAAACGACACAGGGAGTTATTCATGTATTGGTCGTTGCCAAATTCTGTCGTGTACTGCCCATTGCGTGTGAGGGGGTGGCACACTGTAGCAGACTGTTGTGTAGTACTTTTGCCAGCTTCAAAATGTTGCATAAGAGAGGTATAAATAAACTCTATCGAACACAGATGGCATTGTGGAATCCCTGTGGTTAATGGGACACTTAACAAACACGCACAAACCAGTTTTATGCTGATGGATTCAAAAAACTGTCTCACCTTGGGGAAAAAAAAGATTAACTATAACAGTTCTAGTCATTTTAATGTTTTGTCTTAATATTTGGGCCTCCTTGGCTGGAAAATTAGTGTATATTTGCTAAAATCACCTGTTAAACTACATGGCCAAAGGTATGTAGACACCCTCCACTTTTCCGGTTTCAGTCGTTCCACCAGATGTTGAACATGGCCGTAACTATTTGCTACCATTCAGCAACAAAAGCATACGTTAGGTCCAACACTGATGTTGGGTGATAAGGCCTGCTTCACAGTCAAGTTCATCCCACGGGTTGGATGAGGTTGAGGCCAGTCACGTTCTTTCACACCGATCTGGGAAAACCATTTCAGGGCTCCAGAATAACTTCTTGCATTGGTTGCACTGGTGCGTCCGAAATGTTTCATTAAGGTGCACCACCACAAAATTTAGGTGCACCCAATTTTTTACCTTTAGCTCCATAACAGTATATTCTAACCTTCTGTCATTTCCCAAACGCATTGATAGTTATTTATAGTTAAACAGGAGCACCTACAGGTAAATGTTTGTCTATGTTTGAATCACAGCACACTCGAGTTACCAGTGGCCTAGCCTGAGTTTCTTTTTTGTCCCAGGATGAGTAGCCTGTTGAACGGAATTTCAGACACACACACCTTAAGCTAATGATACATGGGGCAACTTTTTGAGCAATGTTGCTGGGCAATCTTGCTAGTGGCAAGTCCGACTATGTTTTGAACGGATAGCGGCGGGGCGGGGCGGGTGGCGGTCGATTTCACCCAGCTGCTGCTAGCTGTCCCTGCTTCGGGCAGCAGCTCTGTTTCCTCCCAGCCCTGGCAGCTTTCAGTGCAGCCTCTCCCAGTCCCAACCACACCTGACTAAAGGTCAAACCTGACTAAACCCAAACATTCACCGATGCTTGCACGTTGTCTCCAGATTCCCTGCAGCTACATCTCTGAAACCACATTCTGCAGACAAACATGTCAGATCAGTAATGCAGCTGCAACACACAAAAAGCACCCAATTTAAAAGCACTACAATCACTCGCTCCAAGCCCCAAACAAAAAGCTACATTAGTCATCAATGTAGCGATGGTTCATTCAAAGCTTACTACCTGAGTGTTCACGTTCACCACATATTCAAAATGAAGCTCAGAGAAAAGGACAGTTTAATCAATATTACTGGCTAAACACTGGATATCTTGGATCACACTAAATGTGTGGCTTCACAGAGCCTTAGGCATGGCTGTCAAATTGAACACATTAATTTAGATCATTAATTTCAAAAAACAGAAATTAACACATGTATATTTAATGATGCATTATGGCCCCATTTTAGTCTAAGTGATAGGCATTATGTTAAATTATTTAAAAACCTGTTCTGGCAACATATTAAGCTGCCAGCCTAAAGCTGAGCCTAAATTTGCACCCAAAATCCTAACGAAGCTTAAATGAAGGGTCACAACATTCTTTCCCACTTTGCTCTTGTGGTATCTAGCCATGGAAGTTGCAGTTTTCTTGCAGAGGTTCTGAAACTTCCGCCAGTTTTCCAGATCTGTCATCCTGTCTACACCAGATGCATTTCAACCGTGTGTTTCGTCGTCATCTCATGCATGTCTGATGATCTCATAAGCTTCAGTTTTAACAGCTCGCGCTTGACTTGGGCTTTGCATGTGTAACTGTAAGTATTTTTTCTTCCAACTTGTACACATACTATAACTATATTGGCTGTGTTGGTTGCTGTTCCAGCTTCTAGATACCTAGGCTTCAGACCTTTCTCTTGGTCTAGTTTATGTTTTTATGGTTTTGTTTTTTTTCCATTTAGCTTTGGGTCATGAACCTCTCATATATTAAATGTATAATTGGAAGAAATCCTACATTTGTGTGCGCGCTCATACCTCAGAGTGTGTGACAGGCACAGAACTGATGCCGGCATTGACGGCGGTCCAGGAGCGAGCGGTGAGAACACAGGCAAACAGCGGGTACAGATCTCCAGCTCCCAGTCTGCGGCTGTAACGCTCCACCCCAGACATTTCATTTTTAATCAGAGCCTGCCACAGCCGGCAGTAGTCCAACCTGAAGTCTGGCTGCAGGACCTGGAGGAGAGGGGAGCGGAGAATGGGTGAAAAGGATTTTATCTACTTTAATGAAAAATAAACTGTATTTGTTTTGTATATTTGTTTATTTTATATTTCACTCTACAAGTGTTTTTATTAAAGCTTCTAAGCATTTGTTCTAAAACCTACACTTGTGGCTATGTGAATGACCACAACCAGTGAAACGCTGAACACTGGCACTGCAAGATTTTTCATCCTTGTCTGTGCACTAGGAATTCCTCGTTGGTCAGGGCTCCTGCTAGTAATTTTCATTGCCTTTTCGGCATGTTACTGCCACCAACTGTTCAGCTAATTAGCCGTGCCACCCGCATGCTTGAGCGTGTGCATCCTTATGCATAATAAAAACAAAATGAGGGCCCACTCATACAAGCACATCAAGTGGTCAAACACCGGAAACTGGATCACCTGAAGAAAAGCAGCACAGATTCATACAACTACTGTCTTGATCTGGATTCTTTCTGTGTGGGTATAAAAATTTAAGTGTGTGGGTTAAGTATTCTAATTTTCAATTCTTATATTGTTGCGAGTTGACATTGTATTTGTCATGGGCCATAGGAGTACAGTATATTGCTGCTATTAGGTATCTTGACAAGAAGGACCATCAACGATGAAACATTAAATTTTTAACAGCCTTAATAAAACATGTTCTGAATGTATTTATTAGTGCTGGGCAACGATTAAAATTTTAAATCGTGATTAATCGCATGATCAGGCTCCTTCTGAGCAACATATATAAATCTGTTTTCAGGTATCAGCAGAAAGATTTTTCTTTTATCAGGGAGCAGCAGAAACAGTCTATGTTCAGCAGCAAGTGTCCCTGTCAGAGTGAGGTGAAGTGGTCGCCTCGCACACACGCCCGCCTGCTGACGAAGTTGAATTGTCTTTTTGTTTGCGACGCGGAGCACAAATCACTGGAAGAGAGACTGTTTGTGAGTTTCCAGAATCTAAATAGTTATCAGGACATCAACAGGAGGGAATTCACATGGCAGAGCGTCCCCGCAAAACTAGATAAAGGCCTATCAGGTAAAGTTGTGAAGCCTTTAATTTTAACTTAAGTTAAATAGGCTACAGCTGTTTAGCGCACAGAAGCTGTTGCCATGGTAAGTATCCATAAAGCGCCCGCCGTTTACTCGTGGAGTTTCTCCCTGTCTGATCACTGGAGCAAAGAGCAAGCCTGAGGGCCAAGCGACTATGTTGTGATTTTAAGAACGTTGCTAAGATTCAACATCTTCCCAAATACTAATCAGCACGCAGTGTGTATCCACTTCACTGTGGCATTTAATTGTTCACTTGTCTTGTTTATCTACTTCTCCCACACGCTGCATCCAGCGTAGTCTGCCGAAGCCTCCCTCCACTGCTTGTTTCAGAGCCAGAGCAACGGACTTTCAAAATAACAATAATAATAAAAACTGCGTTAAAGTGCAATAAAATAATTGTCGGCGTTAATTAATTAATGTGTTAATGCGGGACAATAACATAATAACACTTTAACGTGCCCAGCCCTAGAATTTATGTTACAAATTTGCTGTATTTCTTTTTACATTTCTTACTTTAGACACATTCAGACCCCCAGGTAAGAACACGCTATTTCCAGACCAATTACAACACGTTGGACATATAAGCAATGTGTAGTACCCAACTGGTAATAACACTGGAAATGACTGTGTGTGTGTATATTTGAGGAGTGGATTAATATTCTACAACAAAATGACAGCTGAAATTAGAAGTCATTAGGAATAAATCGGCGCCATTATAGTCAGAGGGAAATCTGTGTCTGTGTGTGTGTTTATATATTGTGTGTGTCAAAGATGAACAAGTTGCATCTTCATAACTAAATTCTCTTCATGAATACAGAAGCAGCAGTAAACAAACTCATGTCAGACCAGAGGGTGTTTGAGTTAACAATCAAAGAGTGTGTGTGTTGAAGAACATGAGAGTGCACATATGCGGCAGTGTGATTAAGGCTGCGGCGCACCAATTCAAACCCAGTACACTGCACTCTGCTAAGAACAACATCAAATGAGTTGTTTATCAAAAAGCTTTATCGTGCTGTAGCTCTACTTAAAGTGTGTTTGCCTGTGACAGTGTGTGTGGCATCCATTTTATGTGCATCTTGACTGCATTTGCTGCTTTACCCATTTACTCAAGGCTTCAGCCAGCAGCATGAAAAATGGACTGCAATATTAGAAAAATTGTATTTTATTGATGTGCGGGCAGCCTGGAGATTTCCCCCTGATAAAGGCCTGATCGAGCAGGACGATCTCGGTCTTCCTGCTCTGGGGACACTTTCGGACCAGCACATTGCCCGGGTGTGGGTCACAGTGAACAAGCCGTGCACAAAGATCATTTCACTGTACAGCTTACCCAGGTTCTCTGAGATCTGTTTGGAAGATGACAAAGAGTTAAATCCAAAAGCTTTCACAAAAATACAAACATTTTCATTTAGAAGACAACAGAACTAAACATTTTTAATAAATTACCCCCCACACACGTTAGAATTGTTTTTAGGTTTTACCTTTAGTAAGTGTGACAATATTGGTTATTGTTATTATTCATAATGATTTATGCACATCTTCACAAAACTAATTTGTTATCCATCACCCATCATTTTCATAGAAAATCTGTGATGATAATAAAATGAGCCAGGTGATGAACAAATTCTCAGATACTCCTGATGACTTACACAGCATTGTTGATGGTACACACACAGCTGTATATGGAATAATGTAGTACCAAAACCAATCTGAAGGGTACTTCCTGTCTGGGGAT